TGTGTCAACTGTATCACTGTATCAACTGTATCACTGTATCAACTGTATCACTGTGTCAACTGTATCACTGTGTCAACTGTATCACTGTATCAACTGTATCACTGTATCAACTGTATCACTGTGTCAACTGCTATCACTGTTTTGTCAACTAGTATCAACTGTATCATCTGTATCAACTGTGTCAACTGATCACTGTGTCAACTGTATCACTGTATCACTGCATCACTGTATCAACTGTATCACTGTATCACCGTGTCAACTATATCACTGTGTCAACTGTATCACTGTATCACTTTATCACTGTGTCAACTGTATCACTGTATCAACCGTTCCACTGTTGTTCAACTGTATCACTGTAGTCAACTGTATAAATGTATCAACTGTATCACTGATGTCACTATATCACTTGTATCAACCTGTATCACTGTATCAATTGATATCAATGTATCAACTGTATCACTGTGTCAACTGTATGTCACTGTATCACTGTATCACTGCGTATCAACTGTATACTGTATCAACTGTTTCACTGTGTCATCTTATCACTATCAAACTGTATCATCTGTCAACTGTTATCATGTATCAACTGTTTCACTGTGTCAACTGAATCAACTGTGTCAACTAGGTTTTACACAGTATCAACTGTATCACTGGTGTACTGTATCACTGCCTGTCAACTGTATCACTGTGTCTGTCAAATGTATCACTGTGTCAACTGTATCACTGTGCTCAATTGTATCACTGATTATCAACTGTATTACACTGAATTACTGTATCACTGTATCAACTGAATCACTGTATCACTGTCTGTCAACTGTATCACTTATCTACCTGTATCACTCTGATCAAACTGTATCACTGTATCAAACTGTATCACACCCCTCTGGGTCAACTGAACACTGTGTCAACTGTATCACTGTATCAAACTGTATTCACTGTGTAACTGTATCAATGTGTCAAACTGTATCACTATCACCTGGATCACTCTGTCAACTGCTATCATGTATCTAACTGTTTCGCGAATCAACTGTATCACTGATCAAATGTATCACTGTATCAAACTGTATCACGGTATCAAACTGTATCGCTGAATCAACTGTATCACTGTATCACTGTATCACTGTATCACTGTATCATTGTATCAACTGTATCACTGTATCAACTGTATCACTGTATCACAGTATCAACTGTATCACTGAATCAACTGTATCACTGTATCACTGTATCAATTGAATCTTGTTCAACTGTATCACTGTATCAATGTATCACTTGTATCAACTGCCCATTCACTGAATCAACTGTATCCTGGTATCACATGGTATCAAACTGTATCACTTGTATCAACTGTATCACTGTATAAACTGTATCACTGAATCAACTGTATCACTGTATCACTGTATCAATTGTATCACTGTATCAACTGTATCACTGCATCAACTGTATCACTGTATCAACTGTATCACTGTATCAACTGTATTACTGAATCAACTGTATCCACTTGTATCTAACCTGTATTAACTGAATCAAACTGTATCACTGTATCACTGTATCAACTGTATCACTGTATCAACTGTATTACTGAATCAACTGTATCACTGTATCAACTGTATCACTGTATCGACTGTATTACTGATCAACTGTATCACGTATCAAACTGTTCAACTGTATCAACTGTATTACTGAATCAACTGTATCACTGTATCAACTGTATCACTGTATCAACTGTATTACTGAATCAACTGTATCACTGTATCAACTGTATCACTGTATCACTGTATCACTGTATCAACTGTATCACTGTATCACTATATCAACTGTATCACTGTATCAACTGTATCACTGTATCAACTGTATCACTGTATAACGGTTATCTAACTGTCTTCACTGTAATCACTGATCACTGTATCACTGTATCAACTGTATCACTGTATCACTGTATCAAATGTATACTGTATCACGGTATCACTGTATCTCTGTATCACTGTATCAACTGTATCACTGTATCAACTGTATCACTGGATCACTGTATCACTGTATCACTGTATCACTGTATCACTGTATCACTGTATCACTGTATCAACTGTATCACTGTATCAACTGTATCACTGTGTCAACTGTATCACTGTGTCAACTGTATCACTGTATCAACTGTATCACTGTATCAACTGTATCACTGTGTCAACTGTATCACTGTGTCAACTGTATCACTGTATCAACTGTATCACTGTATCAACTGTATCACTGTGTCAACTGTATCACTGTGTCAACTGTATCACTGTATCAACTGCTTCACTGTGTCAAACTGTATACCACTGTGTCAACTGTATCACTGTATCACTGCATCACGTTCAATGTATCACTGTAGTCACGTGTCAACTATATCACAGTGTAACTGTATCCTGTATCACTTTATCACTGTGTCAACTGTTCAATGTATCAACTGTATCATGTGTCAACTGTTCACTGGTCAACTGTATCACTGTATCAACTGTATCACTGTATGTCAACTATATCACTGTATCAACTGTATCACTGTATCAATTGTATCACTGTATCAACTGTATCACTGTATCAACTGTATCACTGTATCAACTGTATCCACTGTATCAACTGTATCACTGTATCAACTGTATCACTGTGGTCAAATGTATCACTATCCAACTTATCACTCTGTCAACTGTATATCACTGTATCAACTGTATCACTGTTGTCAACTGAAAAATCACTGTTTCAACTGTATCACAGTATAAACTGTATCACTGTGTCAACTTGTATCACTGTGTCACTGTATACTGTGTCAAACTGTATCACTGTGTCAACTGTATCACTGGTCAACTGTTTCACTGTTGTAAATGCTATCACTGTGTCAAACTGTATCACTGCTATCAACTGTATCACTGTATCAATGTTATCACTGTACGCAAATGTATCACTGTGTCATCTGAATCACTGTGTCAACTGTATCACTGTATCAAACTGACTATCACTGTGTCAACTGTTAATCACTGTGTCAACTGTTCACTGTGTCAACTGTATCACTGTGTTAACTGTATCATCTGTATCCAACTGTACATCTATGTATCTACTGTATCACTGTATCACTGTATCACTGAATTCAACTGTTTTATCACTGCATCAAACTTTATCGCTGTGTCAACTGTATCACTGTATCACTGTATCAACAGTATCAATGAATCAATGTATCACTGAATCAACTGTTCACTGGAATCAACTCTATCACTGTATCAAAATGTATCACTGTTCAAACTGTATAAACTGTTTCAACTGTATAACTGTTATCACTGTATCACTGTATCAAAACTGTTTAAAAAAAATCCACTGTGCAAATGTATCACTGTATAACTGTAATCCTGTATAACTGTAGTCACTGAATCAACTGTATCACTGAAATCAACTGTATCCGGTTTCACTGTATCAACTGTTTCACTGTTGTCAATTGTATCACTGTATCAAACTGTATCATGAATCAACTGTATCACTGTATCAACTGAATCCACTGTAATCACTGCCATAAATGTATCACTGCATCAACTGTATCACTGTATGTCAACTGTATCAATGTATCACTGTATCAACTGTATCACTATCACCTGTATCACTGTATCAACTGTATCACTGTATCAACTGTATCACTGTATCACTGTATCACTGTATCAACTGTATCACTGTATCAACTGTATCAATGAATCAACTGTATCACTGTATCCACTGGTATCACTGTATCATTGTATAACTGTCTACTGTATCAACTGTATCACTCTGTATCCAGTATCAACTGTATCCTGAATCATCTGTATATGTATACTGTATAAAACCACCCCCTTTCCCCCCCCCCCCCCCTCCTACATCACCCCCCCCCCCCCCCCCGCCCCCCCCCCCCCCGCCCCCCAGTCTCAGGCTTGGTAACAAGTACTTCAGTAACCAGTCTCAGGCTTGGTAACAAGTACTTCAGTAACCAGGCTTAGGCTTGGTAACAAGTACTTCAGTAACCAGGCTTAGGCTTGGTAACAAGTACTTCTGTTAGTCTGGCAGACACACCAAAGTATGTTGTCAGTCTTATGGTCACTGTCTTGAACACTATGCACTTAATTTTCCACTTATTGAGAAATATAGAGATGGACAGTACAATAACCTATGTGATATGTCAAGATATCTTAATATTGGAAATAATATACCAGACATATTAAGCAAATATCCTCAATGTAGTTGTAAAAGATCAGTCAACTGAATATATTAATCCAGATGTACTCCTATTAGCCCTTTTGGAGCCTAGTTCCTAGGCCTTTTATATATCCATATGTTGTGCCACCATCCACAGGATGGATAAGGGTTGTATGGGGTGCACAGTATTCTCAGCCCCTCACCTGTCCATCCCCTTTCCTTCCTCTTCCTTTCCACTCCTATCCTCCACTTCCATCCACTCCACCATTCCACAATTCCTTCCCCAATTACTCGTTCTCTTCTCAATTTCTCTCCCCCCCCCCTCCTTTTCCTTACCTTTTCCCCTTTTGCCCCTTCCTCCGTTTCCTCTTTCCTTCTCTCCCCTCTCTCCTCCCCTCTCCATATTTGCTCACCCTTCACTAGTTAGACAAACTCTCACTTACTCAATTAAGGACGATGAGGTGATGTTGATTTCCATATCATTACCGTCACTACTACCCTCCACCCGCTGCGCAGAAGTCCCCCTCGACCCGGCCGACTTTCCCTTGTGGCCCGGGTGTCCCGGCGACCCACTCCACCCGGCGGGTCACCCCGACAAGCACCCGGACTGTAAATCTTGCCATAAAGCTAATGGTCCGTGCCGAGTGTGTACTAATCTTCACGCTGACTGGTCGGAGGCTAGCCTCGCGCTCCGCCCCTTGTTAGTGTCGCGGGCAGTGATTGGGCGGGGTGGAGAGGGGTGGGCGGAGCGAGGCTAGAGAGGGGTGGTCCCCGTAGAGCGGGGTTCCCAGTTAGCTGGAAGGGCAGCCGGGCTAGACTCTATGTTTACCAGTCGCTGGTGAATTGATATCTTGTGCAAAGAGTCACATCCGCTGAGAGTTTGGGGAGAGAGAGAGAGAGAGGGAGGGGGGAGGGGGTTTCAGTACCACTTCCCTTCGGCCATTTATATGCGGATGTGGATGTTAGGGAAGTGCTGAGTGGGCTCTTAGGTCTGTGGGCGGCCCTCCTAGTACAGCCCGAGTGTTGTGTCCGCTACTGCTGGCGTTGCAACAGCAGTTCAGTGAGCGATCATGGCTTGTTGCAGTGCAGAGAGGCGCGGGAGAGTGTAATTACGCTCTGCGAATTACCGCTGGCGCGGTTTCAAGACGCATTAGAGGAGGCAGTGCGGAGACAGTGTACAGGCAGTGTAGAGACAGTGTAGAGCCATGTCTGGTGTAGTGGCTGCCGAGGCTGTCAGACCCAGCCATAACTCAGCTTTCAGCGCCGTGGTCACGCGCAAGAGTTTCTCCTTCTCCGTGGATGACATCCTCGCCAGCACGCCCAAAGACACGCCCAAGACCTCCTCTCCAGTCCCCTCCGCCGCCCAAACCCCGCCCACGCACACGCTGCCCGCCGAAGACAGACTATCGGCAGCGGCGGCGGCGGCGGCGGCGGCGGCGGCGACGCAGGACGGTAGTGACGATGATGGAGACGCAGATGAGGAGATCAACGTCGACTCCGATCCCGACTACGACACCCGCTTCGAACTCCGGCACGAGGAGGAGGCTGGACGGAGGCTGCCCCCGCCCGTGCCCACGTTACTGGGGCATTTAGGGGGGGCTGGGCCCCCCTTACAACCAGCCTCCACCTCCACCACCACCTCCTCCATGTCTCCAGCTGTCAGCTGGCCTCCAAACCTCTTCTTCCAGCACCATCTAGCACTTCGAGCCTTCTCTAGTAAGTTCCTCACCCCTTCCATACCCTCTCCAATAAGTTCCTCTTCCCTCCATACCCTCTCCAGTAAGTCCCTCACCCCTCTATACCCTATCCAGTACGTCCCTTCCCTCTCTGCGCCTTCTCCAGTAAACCCCCCTCACCCCCCTCTCCCTGGAGTGGGGCAATAAATGATAAATGTAAGAGGGATTAAATGTCCAATTACTGAGATTCCAGCAGTGGCAGCGGTAGTTAAGGTGATTTAAGAGCAGTGTAGCCCAGAGAATTTATATATGAAGTGTGAGAGAGTCTACTGAGACGGGGAGCTCTATTGAGACCGGGGAAGCTCTATTGAGACGGGGAAGAGCTCTGCTGAGACGGGAGAGCTCTATCGAGACGAGAAAGAGCTCTGCTGAGAGGAGGGAGCTCTAATGAGACGGGAGAGAGCTTTACTGACACAGAGAGGTTATTCACTGAGATGGGGAATCGGTATTTAACTAAGTTGGGTGATTAAGGGGGAAGAGTAATTAATCACCCTCTCGATTTAATCACTCGATTTAATCACACCCTTCCCCTTAATCACCGTTCCCATAATTACTCTCCCCTTAATAACCCTCCCTCCTTAATCACCCTCCACTTTTAATCACCATCCCTCCTTAATCATCCTTCCCCTTTAATTACCCTCCCCACTTAATCACCCTTCCCCTTAATCAACTTTCCCCTTAATCACTCTTCCCCTTAATCTCCCTCCCTTTAATCACTCTCCCCATTAATCACCCTTCCCCTTAATCACCTTTCTACCTTAATCACCCTCCCCTCTTAATCACCCTTCCCCTTAAAGGGAGAGGGTGATTAAGGGGGGGGAGGAGGCTTCTGGAATGCTTGCCAATTATTAATAATTTGCTGAATCAAATTAACGACAGTTAACGTCGTTGCTGATTATCTGTACCACGTTAGATAAGTCCTTGTTAACCGAAGCATAACTATTTCTTCGTTAACCGATGTTAAAATTATTATTCCCTTGTTAACCTATGTTAAAATTAGTATTCCTTCGTTGAACCACGTAAAATAATAATTCCCTCGTTAATCAATCTAAAATCTATTATTTCCCTCGGTGATCAATTCAAAAAAAAATATTATTCCCTCGTTGATCACGCTGGAAATTATTTATCTCGTTAATCAATCCAAAATTATTATTTCTCGTTGATCGCTCTAGAACATTATTTATCGTTGATCGCTCTAGAAATTATTTCTCGTTGATCGCTCTAGAAATTATTTCTCGTTGATCGCTCCAGAAATTATTTCTCGTTGATCGCTCTAGAAATTATTATTTTCCTCGTTGATCGCTCTAGAAATTATTTTCCTCGTTGATCGCTCAAGTAATTATTATTTTCCTCGTTGATCGCTCTAGAAATTATTTCCCTCGTTGATCGCTCTAGAAATTATTATTTTCCTCGTTGATCGCTCTAGAAATTATTTTCCTCGTTGATCGCTCTAGAAATTATTTCCCTCGTTGATCGCTCTAGAAATTATTTATTTTTCCCCGTTGATCGCTCTAGAAATTATTTTCCTCGTTGATCGCTCTAGAAATTATTTTCCTCGTTGATCGCTCTAGAAATTATTTCCCTCGTTAATCGCTCTAGAAATTATTTTCCTCGTTGATCGCTCTAGAAATTATTTTCCTCGTTGATCGTTCTAGAAATTATTTTCCTCGTTGATCGCTCTAGAAATTATTTCCCTCGTTGATCGCTCTAGAAATTATTATTTTCCTCGTTGATCGCTCTAGAAATTATTTTCCTCGTTGATCGTTCTAGAAATTATTTTCCTCGTTGATCGCTCTAGAAATTATTTCTCGTTGATCGCTCCAGAAATTATTTCTCGTTGATCGCTCTAGAAATTATTATTTTCCTCGTTGATCGCTCTAGAAATTATTTTCCTCGTTGATAGCTCAAGTAATTATTATTTTCCTCGTTGATCGCTCTAGAAATTATTTTCCTCGTTGATCGCTCTAGAAATTATTTCCCTCGTTGATCGCTCTAGAAATTATTATTTTCCTCGTTGATCGCTCTAGAAATTATTTCCCTCGTTGATCGCTCTAGAAATTATTATTTCCCTCGTTGATCGCTCTAGAAATTATTTCCATCATTAATCACCCTAGAAATTATTTTCCTCGTTAATCAATTAAAAAAATATTTTGGTTATTAATTCACTCGGAGGATTTTTTAATTCTGAGTTATGTGCGGTAAACCCGCAGGGGAGATGCAGCTCCTGGTCCTCCTCAGACAGCCGCTGCTCTGACACACCTTTGTTTACATGTCTGTAAATTGTGTACATGTAAATTGTGTACGTGTAAATTGTGTACGTGTAAATTGTGTACGTGTAAATTGTGTACGTGTAAATTGTGTACGTGTAAATTGTGTACGTGTAAATTGTGTACGTGTAAATTGCGTACATGTAAATTGTGTACGTGTAAATTGTGTACGTGTAAATTGTGTACGTGTAAATTGTGTACGGTGTAAATTGGTTACGTGTGAATTGTGTACGTGGGAAATTGTGTACGTGTTAAATTTTGTACGTGTAAATTGTGTACGTGTAAATTGTTACGTGTAAAAATTTTGTACGTGTAAATTGTGTACGTGTAAATTGTGTACGTGTAAATTGCCCTACATGTAAATTGTGTACGTGTAAATTGTGTACGTGTAAATTGTGTACGTGTAAATTGTGTACGTGTAAATTGTGTACGTGTAAATTGTGTACGTGTAAATTGCGTACATGTAAATTGCGTACGTGTAAATTGTGTACATGTAAATTGCGTACATGTAAATTGCGTACATGTTAATTGCGTACATGTAAATTGCGTACATGTAAATTGCGTACATGTTAATTGCGTACATGTAAATTGCACACATGTAAAATGCGTACATATGTTTAAAATGCGTACATGTAAGTAAAATGCGTGAATGTATGTAAAATGGGTACATGTATGTAAACTGCGTACATGTGTGTGTAAACTGCGTACATGTGTGTGTAAACTGCTTACATGTGTGTGTAAACTGCTTACATGTGTGTGTAAACTGCTTACATGTGTGTGTAAACTGCTTACATGTGTGTGTAAACTGCTTACATGTGTGTGTAAATGCTTAAAATGTGTGTTTTAAACTGCTTACATGTGTGTGTAAAAATGCGTACATGTGTGTAAAACTGAGTACATGTGTGCAAACTACGTACACGTGTGTAAATTACGTAAATGTGTATAAGCTGCTTTCAAATATGTAAATTACAAAACATGTGTGTAAAAGAACGGTCATGTGTGTAAATTCGTACAAGTATATAAATTTCCGTATATGTTTGTAAATTGCGTACATGTGTATGATTTGCGTAAGTGTAAATTTTAGTATATTTGTAACTTGCGTTCACGAAAACTGCGTAATGGTGTGTAAACTGCGTACATGTGTGTAAACTGCGTACATGTGTGTAAACTGCGTACATGTATGGTTAAAAATGCGTTTCATGTGTGTAAACTGCGTACATGTGTGTGTAAACTGCGTACATGTGTGTAAACTGTTACATGGTGTAAACTGCGTACATGTGGGGTAAACTGCGTACATGTGTGTGTTAAACGCGACATGTGTGTAAACTGCGTACATGTGTGGGAAATACTACATGTGTGTAAATGCTTCCCTGTGTGTAAACTGCGTACATGTGTGTAAACTGCGTACATGTGTGTGTAAACTGCGTACATGTGTGTAAACTGCGTACATGTGTGTAAACTGCGTACATGTGTGTAAACTGCGTACATGTGTGTACACTGCGTACATTTTGTGTAAACTGCGTACATGTGTGTAAACTGGCGTAAATGTGTGTAAACTGCAACATGTGTGTAACTGCGTACATGTGTGTAAACTGCGTACATGTGTGTAAACTGCGTACATGTGTGTAAACTGCGTACATGTGTGTAAACTACGTACATGGTGTGTAAGCTGCTTACATGTGGTGTAAAAATGGTACATGTGTTTTAAAACTGCGTACATGTGTGTGTAAACTGCGTACATGTGTGTAAACTGCGTACATGTGTGTAAACTGCGTAACATGTGTGGGAAACTGCGTACAGTGTGTAAACTGCGTACATGTGTGTAAACTACGTACATTGTGTTAAACTGCTTACATGTGGGGTAAACTGCGTACATGTGTGTAAACTGCGTACATGTGTGTGTAAACTGCGTACATGTGTGTAAACTGCGTACATGTGTGTAAACTGCGTACATGTGTGTAACTGCGTACATGTGTGTACACTGGCGTACATGTGTGTAAACTGCGTACATGTGTGTAAACTGCGTACATGTGTGTAAAACTGCGTACATGTGTGTAAACTGCGTACATGTGTGTAACTGCGTACATGTGAGTAAACTTCTTACATGTGGGGTAAATTGCGTACATGTGTGTAAACGCGTACATGTGTTGGGAAACTGCGTACATGTTTGTAAACTGCGTACATGTGTGTAAACTGCGTACATGTGTGTAAAGTGCGTAATGTGTGTAAACTGCATGCAGATTTGTTAAATTGTGGCATGCCTGTAAATTTATGTACATGTTTGTAAACTGCATCCATGTCTGTAAATTACAAACATATATAAATTGCGTAAACGTGCGTAAATTGCGTACCTGTCTGTAAATTGCCTACATGAGTGTAAATTGCACACATTTACCTAAGTTCGTACTTGTGTGTAAATTGAGTGAACAAAAGCAAATTGCGTACACATATGTAAATTGCTTACATGTGGATAAATCTGGTACATGTATAAAGTGCGGACAGGTGTGTGAATATCCCTTGTGTTTTGTACAGTGACTGATGAAGGTGTGAATTATTTCTGAAATTATTAGTGTGTGTGTTGTGTGTGTACTTACCCAGTTGAGGTTGCGGGGGTCGAGTCCGAGCTCCTGGCCCCGCCTCTTCACTCATCGCTACTAGGTCACTCTCCCTGAGCCGTGAGCTTTATCATACCTCTGCTTAAAGCTATGTATAGATCCTGCCTCCACTACATCGCTTCCCAAACTATTCCACTTACTGACTACTCAGTGGCTGAAGAAATACTTCCTAACATCCCTGTGATTCATCTGTGTCTTCAGCTTCCAACTGTGTCCCCTTGTTACTGTGTCCAATCTCTGGAACATCCTGTCTTTGTCCACATTTTCAATTCCTTCAGTATTTTGTATGTCGTTATCATGTCCCCCCTATCTCTCCTGTCCTCAGTGTCGTCCAGGTTGATTTCCCTTAACCTCTCCTAGTAGGATATACCCCTTTGCTCTGGGACTAGTCTTGTTGCAAACCTTTGCACTTTCTCTAGTTTCTTCACGTGCTTGGCTAGGTGTGGGTTTCCCAAAATGGTGCCGCATACTCCAATATGGGCCTAACGTACACGGTTGTACAGGGTCCTGAACGATTCCTTATTAAGATTGTCGGAATGCTGTTCTGAGGTTTGCTAGGGGCCCATATGCTGCAGTCGT